ACAACGGTTCCCTACCTTAGATAGCCATGACCGCTAATAACCAAGTCACACAATTCTACACAAAGTCCAGGACTGCCCCTTCTGCTCCTACATGTGACAAATTGTGTGTTTTCATTTTAAAATCATTCAAATGCTATATGTAGGTCCTTGACGTCAGACTGCAGTTTTAACTCCACGGTTCCTACAAGAGACTCCCACAATTCTGTAATTAACGTCTCCAAAGTGCAGTGGGACTATGGACACCAGGCATGTTTTGTGTTTTTATGCAGCAATACGGTACAGAAACAGAGCATCATTCAGTCCACGCTCATCCAGTAGCACTCCAGCTGGACTACAGGAATCCCTCAGTGATCAGTGGGAGGATTAGTCATTTAGCCAGGCCTCAGCATTGATTTCCCTCCTCATGCCCCCCCCTCAGCTCAGCTGATCAATGCACACACGGCTCCTCCAATGCAAAGCAGACATGAGGAGGCCCTGGAGGATGAATGTCAGGTGAATGGCTCTGACCCGTGCCTCTGAGCAGTGCTCAGGGCCGCGGTGGGCCCCCCCGCTCTGGGTGTGTCAGTGGTACTGTGACACTGCAGATTCAGTCTGGGGGGCGAGGGGCGGGAGGTCAGGGGGTAAAACATCAGTGAGTGAAGCTCAGAGATGCGATGCGTGGCTGACCGGTGTGCTGTCCTCTGGCTGTGTCCATCAGGGCTCCAGCATGTTCACCTCGGTGAAGGCCTTCGAGGGGCAGCAGTACTCCACCCTGAAGAGGCAGTGCCTGCAGAGCGGCCTCCTGTTCGAGGACCCCCGCTTCCCCGCCATCGACCACTCGCTCTTTTACCAGGGCAACAGGATCGGCCGCGTTGTCTGGAAGAGGCCTCGGGTGAGTTGGTTTGCGCACTACAATGTAGATTTTCTGACTTTGCTCTTCAAAAATATCTCCACAAAGGGGTTGAGTACTATCAGACGAGGTGTGTGCTACTATTCATTAAGCCATCTGTCATCCAGTCATGTTTTCATCAGGCCAATAAGTTGGCTGGAAAAGAAAGGAAGAAAAAAGACCTGCTGACAATAAAAGATTGGGACCTTTTCACTGACACTGTGGGGGCAGTAACAGTTACACAACTGCCTTTGGGCATGTACAGATGAGGTTTCATAACTAGCTTGGCTGGGAGCACAAACACAATGAAAAACATATGTGAGTTCTGGAGTCTCCTTAAATATATGTTCATATATTCTGCTGTTCTTCTCAGTAATTCTGGCGTGACTGTCAGGTGTCCCCACACCCCATATTTAACTCCAGCAGCAGAGCTGAACGTGGGCTCATGTCAAGTCAAAATGTGCAAATGGAGGATTTGGTGGTGGCAGTATGAATTTCACAGTGTAGCATCTCTGCTTCATGAAGAAGCTCAAACCAGACGAGGGTGTGACAGGAGAGAGGGTAAAAGGAAATGTGGCTGGTTTTCAGGGACTTTTTTCATGGATCTTCTTCAGAATTGGGACTTTTGAAATATTTCTTTTGTTTTAAAAAGAAAAAAACTGCTCCAGGTTGCATTGCTCCCCATACAACAGGACAGGCAGTGATACTCATCAAGTGCACTTCAATTTGACAGCCTGAAGTCTATTGGAGTATATTCAAACTTAACTGTCTGCTTGTAGAGTTATTCGTTTTGCCTTCGGAACCCTTCAGTCATCCACCAAAAGAAACCTCAGTCCTCGTGGATTTACATCTTTTATATCACCCGGCATGAATGATGCTGGCAGCTCTCACCTTGTGATGGTGTCAAAATCAGCTTGCTGTCAATCCCCAAGGTCCTCCGCACATGAGATTAATTACCCTAAAGCTTGACTAGTCATTTGGGATTCCCTGCTAACATCAGCAGTGTCCGGGCCGGCTCCACAGCGCCCCTCTGTGGTGGGCTGGCGTATGAGCGCGCTGACTGAATGCTCAGGCTGTGGAGGATATCAGATGTAGGGCCTCAGGGTTTGGCAGGCTGAGTCCCCTGCCACTGTTACCCCCTCACACTGCAGGCTGAGGTCCTGAACGGTGTAACCTCCATCTGCCTGTGGGACGGCCAGCATGCATTGCCATGGAAACTGGGTCACACAGATTGCATGTTTTGGTCAGCACTGATGTCAGTCATACTGACAAAAAATGTAGGAAGTTAAGGAAGGAGTAGGCAGGAGGAGAATCCTTTTGTGTTTTTAAAGTTAAGACATCAAGAGGTTTGAATCCTCGTCTTGCTTTGAGATTTTTAAAACCATTTCACAGAAAATCAGAATCAGAATCAGAAATACTTTACTAATCCCAGAGGGAAATTATTTGAATTATTTTTAATTAATAGTTGCTGTTTTCGACTTGAAGTCAGGTTGTAGTTTGGTGGGGTTCAAAATAGGATGTTTAACTAACCTGAGGACTTTCTACATCCTCAAGGATTGCATCTTTTTTTTTAAAACAGCACCTGCATTGCAAGACAGATAAGATAAGCTGAAAATGAAATGGAATGAAAGCAGTCAGTGGGGTTATCAGGTGGGAACCTTCATCAGTGTTTCATCTATCCGGGCCCACCCCCCCCCAGAAGGCTGGGCCCTGATCACTGGTGTCCCAGAGCCACTCCCCAGACGCCATTCTCCAAGACATTGTTTCCTCACAGTGGTGTCAGGCCGGTTTTAGATTAAAAAGATCTGGATAGGATGGTAGGGTGGCAGTGGGGTGGAGCGCCATATTGTGTGTGTGTATGGTGTGTGTTGTTGGTTTGTGAGGGCATGAAATGAGCTTATGATAGGGTATGCATTCAAACATTTCTTAGGCCAGTAACTCAAGTGTGTGAGGATCTGTGTTTTTAATGTGCTTTAAAAGTATTTCTATGTGAAGCACTTTGTATTACTGTGTGTGGAAAGTGTGTATAAAGAAATACATTGAACTGAAATTGAAATAGGATTCTACAAATTCGAATATGAAACTTTCGACAGCTTTCTAACTCCATACACTTCCTCTCCCTGGATTTCTTCCCCATCTAATGTCAGTCAACCCTAAATGCTCCTGCTAGGCCCCCAGCTAGTGTAGCTTCTTCTAATCCAAATCCACTGACTGCACCTCACTGCCTCAACTGACTCGTCCTCCATTATTCTCCTCACACTCTGTCCACTTCCATCCAACTCCCTCAACAATGAGACAGCTGACTTTGAAACAAATCCACTACATCCTACTTTGACTGGATAAACTCTAACTTTCCATCCTCTCTGCTCTGTTTTGCCCTTAACTCTACACACCTAAGCTTTTTGCTTTCAGATGCTTCTTCTACTAAGTCCTTCCAGGGAACAGTCAGCTCTATAGTATAGACTTGTAGAGGCTTTTTCCTGGGCAACAACAAGCTTTCTTCCACATTTATCTGCATCCCCCAGTCACAAGCCACTGTTTGTCCCATCGGTTTGTCTAGGCCAAGCCCAAAGCCTCCCTAATCTATTTTAACATTACCCACATTACGCTCTGGAAGCTTGTGTTTCCAGAGCTGCTTATCTTGGATTCCATTTCCTCCCCCTGATTGGGTTTGGAACCACCTTACTGACTCCAGCACCTTTACTCCCTGCCATCAGGAGTTCTGTCCTTTCCTCTGCTGTAACGTGTACATTTCCCCACTGGATGACCAATAACGTAATCTATTCTACTCTTCTATTCTATTCTATTCCATTATATTCTATTCTATTCTATTCTTAAACTCCTCTACTAGACTAGACACTTGCTCGTATAGTGCCACAGTACTTCCACATCCAGTAACACCAAGCCACTTCCTGATGGTTGCATTGTTCCGTGAATACGTCAGCTGCACAGATGTGGAGTGTTGTTTTTTACTGTTGTCCAAGCTGTCGTGTGCTTATCACTTACCGCTGACTGAACCTATTACAGTGAGGGGTGTGTTAGTGAGGAGTTATACCTGGGCACGATGTACCGGCGTGCATAGCTCAGACACCGGGCTCCCTGTGGATTCTCCTCCCAGCGGTCAGGCTAAGGAGGCGGTCAGGGAGAGGAAACAAAAGCAGGGGCCCCGGGCTGGGGTCCTGGCTCTGCTGTGTGCATGTGAACAGTAGCGGGGGCCAGACGCCGCTGGTATCACCCAGCACTGCAGGGCCGGACTTCAGCACTGTTAGGAGGCCGGGTCATCTTCCTAGTGGGTTTACGTCGTCACGGTTATGCATTCCACCCAATGCTAATGCTAACACGGCTCTTAGCCACTCTGACAGTGCTCTTAGCTGGCAACAGAACAGAAGCATTGCATGTGAGAGCGATGGGTTCTAACCATGCTGATTTGAAAGTAGCGCCCTCCAAATCCCACCATCACAGTAAATGTACCACCTGGGGATTTAAGACACTGGACAAAGCCTACTCCAATAGGAAGCATGGATACAGCCAGCCACTCAGATGCCCCACTGATCACATGTCACTGCTCCTATTCTGCCATGCAGAGCACTAAATCCTGGCCTGACCTGGCCTGGAGCCTCTTAGTGCACACTGGGACCTCTTCAGCCTCCAGGATCTGGAGGTGCACACCTCAGCAGCACTTGGCTGCATCCATCACTGTGGTCACATGGTTCCAGCGGACAGGCACGTCCAGGTGGCTCCCACCCAGAAGCCCTGGATGCACAAGGAGGTCAGGCAGCAGCCTGGAGGGAGGAGCGGTGCTGCAGACAGGGACCCGCGCAGCACTGCCCCAGCTTCTCTGAGCAGACACATCAGAGACCACCGGCAGGGCTGCAGGGCCCCCCAGGAGTAACAGCAGCCAGCGGGCCAGGCCGGGTGTCCAGCACATCACCAACTTCAGATCCAGCAGCACCGCCCCCATCCCCGGGGCAGCCTGCTCCCCGTGCGCGAGGGTAGGACCCACCAGAGCCGGCCCTCCCAGGGCTGTGTGCTACGCCCTCTGCCCTACACGCCCTACACGCCCTACACCCAGACGTCCACCCCCCCACCCGGACAACACCATCATCAAGTATGTGGATGATTCCACGGGGCAGGGGCTCATCTAAGGAAGAAATGAGAGTGCTTGTAGAGTGGAAGTCTGGTGCACTCACCCTGAACACCTCCAAGTGGACTTCAGTGAACCGGACCCCCAACCACTGACTGTAAATTGGGACAGGGGGGAGATGGTGCCAGACTTCCGGCTCCTGGGCACCTACATCGATGAAGACCTGACCTGGACTGCAAACCTCACAGCAGTCCTGAAGAAGGCCCCGCAGAGACTCCACTTCCTGAGGACTCTCAGGAGGACCAGCTGAAGAACGGGGCTGGTGGGGTCCTTCTCCCGCCGCCCGGGGACTGAGCCCCCGCAGCTCACCACGGTTCCCCAGCTGCCCTGCAGCGGAGAGGCAGGAGGTGGCCCCAGAGGGCCAGAAACACTGCCCACAGACTGACGTGCACAACCCCTGCTGCCTCAGGAGAGCTGCAGCATCACCAGGGGCTCCACACCCGGGTCCCCACCCTCAGGAGGGGGGTTCAGGGCAAACAGACTATAGCAGCTCTTATCCCGGAGCTGTGGTTGCCCTGAACACCGCAAATAGAACACAACACGGAACTGTTTAGACATATTTAATTATGTAAAAAGTCACATTTTTTCAACAAAAATCTTGATACTGCACTACCTGCTGTTTTTTTGCACCACTTTAAAAGTGGCTATGTTTTTCAATTTTGTTTTGCTCTTTTGTATAATGACAATAAAGGAATTCTAACTATAATTCTAATGTTGGAGCTAAATAACCTTTTCATTTTCTCTGCCACAGATAATGGAATCTTATACACAGGCAGAGGCCACATCAACCTAGGAAACAATCCAAACTGCAGACACCACAGCTTCAACTTTCCTGGAAGCCCTAATTTAGTAGCTAAGCTATCCAGTCCCTGAGCAGCATCTTTCTGAAACTTCACCACCTGCTCTCTATCATCCAGTTGTGCTCAGTTGAATTCTTGGGCTTTCTTAAGAGTCCACAGCTCCAAAAAAGCTTTCTCTGCCATCACATAATGGACTGTTTACTTCCATGGTGACCATGTATTTGACTGTCCAGCTGCCCACGTCTGACTGGGCTTTTCAGGAAGAGAGAAAAAGATATGAATATGTAAAGAAAGACTTATTATGCTAGTTTTTACTTTCCACAGTTGCTTTTTACATACTCAGCTTGGGGCATTGGATAGAAGTGAATATTTGGTGTAATCTGCTGGTTTCCTTAGCTTGACAATCTTTTTTAATTGGCGCCATATGAATTGGACTACTTTGGAGCAGGGATCAATTGAATTGTATTCCAATGACTTGTAATTTAATTGCTTTGAAATTGATTATATGATTGAAGTGACTGGAGATGATGTTTGTTTGTTTAGTTATATATAAATGCAAATTAATTGAAAACAAATTGAACTGTAACAGTGTATTCGGACGTGTAAATATGGTTTAGAAACCACCCAATATAATGCCACGAACCTGAATGTAAAATTTGTATGGGCTCCTATCCCAAATTAGAGTGATCCATGGATGCATCTTAAAATGGTGTCTGTTCTACCTATTGGATAAAAATATCATTGACATCGCAGTATTTCATTCAGTATAAGATAATGAAGTTAGACCTAAAGTTTTTTAGGGACAAAGTCACTTTGTAGATATTCTTACAAAAGCAAATTCAGGATTTCACACACACACGCACACACACACACACACACACACACACACAC